CTTAATGGTGATCTGCAAGAGGAGGTATATATGAACATTCCAGCTAGTTTTTATGAGAATGTTGGTAAGGGAAAAGTTTACAGGCTGAAGAAATCACTATATGGTTTGAAACAATTACCTAGATCATGGTTTGACAGGTTCAAAGGAGCACTTATCCATTTTGGGTACACATAGACTCAATCCGACCATACTCTCTTTGTAAAAAGGAGAGAAACACTCTTGTCAATATTGATTGCACATGTAGATGATATAGTTGTTATAGGAAATGATAATTGAGGTTGCAAGATCCAAGTATGAGATTTTCATCTCTCAGAGGAAGTATGTGTTGGATTTACTACAGGAGACTGGGAAGCTAGGAACTAAACCAGCTGATACTCCTATTGATACAAATCATAGAATTAATGCTTTGGATGGTGAGTTGGTTAAGGATACAGGAAGATATCAAAGGATGGTAGGCCAGCTACTATATTTATGTATAACACGTCCAAACATCTCCTATGTTGTTAGTGTTGTGAGTCAGTATATGCATGCTCCTCAAGTTCAGCACTAGGAAGCCATTGAGATGATACTTGCATACCTGAAGAAGCATCTTGGCAAAGGGATTCTTTTCTCAAACCATGAAAATTTAAAGTTAGAGTCCTACACAGATGAAGATTGGGCAGCTTGCTTAGATGACATGAGATCTACATCAGCGGTGTGCACCTTTGTGGGAGAAAATTTGTTCTCATGGAAGAATAAAAAACAATCAGTTGTGGCTAGATCAAGTGTAGAGGTTGAATATAGATCTATGGCTCATGGTGTTTCAAAACTACTTTGGGTGAGATCTCTACTGAGTGAGATTGGAATAAAAGCTGAGGACCCCATAATGTTATATTGTGACAACCAAGTTGCAATCAATATTGCCCACAATCCAATTCAGCATTACAAGACTAAACACATTGAGGTTGATAGAAGTCTGCTTGCCTTATGTCTCCTCTGAACTACAATTGGCTGATGTCTTCACCAAAGGGGTTGCAAAGAATAAGCTTGAATACAATCTACGCAAGTTGGGAATGTGTGACATTTACTCCCAACTTGAGGGGGTGTTGAGGTTTTAGACAAATTGTGTAGCCTATAGTGGTAGTTTTTTTTTTTTTTTTTTGATAATTGAAAATGATTTCATTAAACAAAAGGAATAAGATTTTACAAGAATCCCTTGGAGAGGCACAAGATGCAGCCTCCCTTAACTGTTGCAAGAGAGCAAAAATAAAATTATAATGCGGCCCAGAATAAATGGTCCCTAGTAGACCCCTATTTAGCAAGATGATCAGCCAAAGCATTTGCCTCCCTACCCACCCACTGATATCTACATGTTATGTGCCTTGTTAAACATTTAACTTTTTTTATAAGATCCCTATAACTCCAAACAACTAAGTCTAGATTTGACAACCAGCCCACAATCACCTTAGAATCCCCTTCAATCAATAGGTTCCCCACTCCTAGTTGATTAGCAATCTGAATTCCCTGTACTGCAGCCAATATCTCAGCTCTTGTAGAGTCCCCTATCCCTATCGGGCCTGAGAATAAGGATATGATGTTGCCATTTTCATTCCTCAATACTCTTCCAATGCCAAACGGTCCTGGGTTACCCTAGCTACTTCGGTCAAAATTCAGTTTAAAAAAACCTTCTGGGGGAGTTACCCAAACTGTAGTGGCTCTGGTTTTTCTAACCGAAGTGTGTGCAACTGTGGCCCAATTTCTCCAGATGTCATCAAATGAAAAAGAGCTAAAGAAGCCAAGGATTTCAACCAATGGATAGTCCTGGTTAAGATACATTCCTTCACTTTTGTAAAGGACCTCTCTTTATCTTGGAAAATTCTAGCGTTTCTTTCTTCCCAAATTGTTTGATTATTTATTGCTCAGATAGGAAGTGGGGACCACAACACTCTTGTTGGGTCCTTTTTAAGCAGTTATTTTAATTGTTTTATGCGTTTTATGTGTTAGCCGCCCTATAACGGCATATTGGTCTTTGTACTCTTTATTATTTTAGACTATAAATAATAGTGAAGAGGGCAGCCAGCATTGTTGCTCTCTTTTCTCTCTCAAATCTCTTCTCTTCCTTTTTCTCCTTTCTTCTCTTCTTCTTCAAGAAATATTCTTTTCTTTTACATATCTTTATTTCAACACCTCAAGAAATATTCTTTTCTTTTACATATCTTTATTTCAACACCTTTCTACTCGGCCCATAGTTTTTAAGGCACCAAGGCGAGGCTAGGCGATATCCTAGGGTAGTTCCCTAGGTTCCATAGCCATCTTTCCTTAATAATTATCCATAATTTTCATAAGAGAAGTATAAATTTCATGTTTTAAGTATAGAAAACCAACATTTTATGAAAGAAAAGGAACAAAGGAAAGAAAATTCATAAAATATAGGGGCTGAACCCCTACTTTTGTTATAGGAAAAGAAGAAAAGAAAAGGTGGAAGAAGAAAAACTATAAGAAGAAAATGTGTATCGGACAAAATTTTAAGTTCTTCCCTTGCTTATTGTTCAGGTTCTGAAATCTTTGAGGATTCAATCAAGGATCAAAACTTCAATACGATACGCCCTGTATCGGGTGTATAGTATTATATCTTTGGTGCCCCAATACACATGTTTACAGGTGTTTTCGAGAACCCATTTTTTAAAATAATATATATATTTAAAAATGAAATTGAAAACCAAAGAAATAAAAAAATAAGGGGAGTATCGTTATAAGTACGAATACACCTCTACCAAAAGACAAAGGTGTATCGATACTTTGAACCATGGGTTCAATACAACAGTTAGCAATGTTTGTGTTGATTAAACCCTAACAAATAAGAAAATAATAAAAAGAAATTAGTATAAATGAGTATTCTAGTTTAATGATGCCTGTTTTATAATTATAATGTCAAAAATTAAAAATATACAAGTATTTTATAGCATAGTGTACGAAACTATTTGGCGATTGGGCGAAGCAAGCCTCCAGGCGTCGCCTTGACAACTATGATTCGGCCCATTCCTTAGGTGCCAAGAGACTCCTTCCCCTTTCCTTAACCAGTCCACAACTGTTTTGGAATCACCTTCAATAATTAGCCTTTCCAGGCCCAATTCCTTAGCTTTCTCAAGCTCAAATACAGCAGCTAAGAATTCTATTGATGCCACATCATTATGCCCAGCTGGACCCAAGAACAAGGCACTGATGTTACCTTCCTCATCCCTAATAGCTCCTCCAATTCTTGCAGGGCCTAGATTGCTCGCACTGCTCCCATCAAAGTTCAATTTCAACCAGCACAAGGTGGTGGAAACCAGACCACCGTTTCAACTTTTCTTCTAGAAGATGAAGCAATTATAATCTCCCAATCCCTGAAGAAATCATCAATCTGAAAATCTGAGAACAAGCTCAAGGTCTGAACCCAATGAGCCACTTGAAAGGTTATGGCCTCAATCAATACTTCCTTAGTTATCTCCTTTTCCCCAAAAAATCTAGAGTTTCTTTCCTCCAGATTGTCCAAACAACTGCCGCCCTTGTACATTTCCACATCAATCTACCTCTTTTAGTAGCACACCTGCAAACAGAAGGGAAAAACAGCCCTTCCAAGCTAACAAGAGAGAGCCACTTGCAACCAAAAAGTGAGGCAAACCACTCCCAAATAAAGCCAACAAATGGACTGGAGATTAAAAGATGAAAGGCAATCTCACCATTAACCTTAAACAAGCTGCACAAATTGGGGGACAAGCACCAGTTTGGCCTTTTTCTTTGAAGCTTATCACAAGTATTAATGCAACCATAAAACACTTCCCAACATAAGGCACCCACTCTAGGGGGAATGGGAGGACACCAGATTTCCTTTATTGGGAAAAAAAAGGGAAAGGAGAGGGAGAGGAGTAACGTAAGGCAGCCACCGGCCTGCCTTTAAAGTTGGAAATTGCATAAGAGAAGGGAAGACCTCCAATAAGGGGATTTCCCGAACCCAGGCGTCTTCCCAAAACCTAAGCTTTTGACCCGAGACCAAGTCATACCTGATGTGATTGAGGAAGGCAGGAAGACAGTCATGGATGGCTTTCCAAGGAAGCTCTATGGAGATAACCAACATCCCATCCATTGTTTGATAACCCATGGATGCTTACTATCACTTTGTACCAAAGTCCATCACTCTCCCTCGGGAACCTCCAAAGCCATTTACTCAATAACGCCCAATTTTTCAATCTAATATTCCCAATCTTCAACCCTCCTACCTTCAACTTCGACACCTTCTTCTCACCTAATCAAGTGATCTTTCATTCCTTCCCTGGGTTCCCACAAAAAATCTCTCATGATCTTTTCCAACTTTCTCACGATAACTTGGGGCATCCTAAAAACTGACATAAAATAGACAGATTGGTTCACTAAAGTAGACTTGATCAGAGTTATCCACTTCCAGCCAGCAAGCCTCTTCTCAAAACTTTTTTTTTTATTTCTTCCTCTTCTCAAACCTTTCCACCACTGGGTTCCAAAAATTCAAAGATTTAGGGGTTGTCACCAAGTGGGAGCTCTAGGTACTTGATCAACCAATTGCCTTTCTCTCAGCCTAAAATATTTGCCATATCTTCCAACAAATCTTCATGCACATTAACTTCAAATAAAACACTTTTATTCCAATTAATCCTAAAGTTGGAGACCCTCTCAAAGAGATTCACTACCAGCTTCAAGTTTTCTACAACTCTTGGAGTTTGTACATGGAGGAGACCTCTCCCTCAATCATGTCTCTCTCTCCTTTCTCTTCCTCTCATTTCTCTAGTAACAACCCAATTTCATGCAGGCACAAAAATCCCTCCCTAGAGAAACTTATTGCACAAGATAACAACAATAAGAATAACCCCGAGAATAATAAATGTTAACAATGATAATGAAATAAAAGATATAATCATCATCAGCATTACATTATTACTATTATTGTTGCAAGTACCTAATAATTGATGCAATGTAACACACTAAAAGATTATTGACCTTAAACATACCTCACTGATTAAAATCCTTTCTGATCGCCGCCATGGAACTTTACTAGGACTCATTAACTTGTGACTATGCTCTTTTACAAATTTGGTAACAACCCACTTCACTCCATCTCTTAGAGCTAGCCTTAACATTGCATTACATCCTTCCCTAGTTACAGGTGGTGGAGGAAGAATTCTATCTTTTCTGTATACATATTTCTTTGCACGAAAGCCCTCTTTTGAGCAAACAAAATCTTGACCAATGACAGCATTATTTAGTCGTGAACGCCGATTATGATGAATGCGAACAGTGAAACCCGTCCGCCTTCCATAGGCAACATAAAATTCCCTAGCCTCATCTCTTGATTTAAACTCCATACCAACATATGGTTCCAAGGCATCTGCATTGGCAGGTATTGTTTCAACTGATTGTTCTTCAAACTTGTCATTGCCACCTATACATAAATCAACATTTTTTGAGAGGTCACTATCTGTTGTTTGATGTTCGTTGAAGGTTTCAACTTGCAAATCCCTATTGCTTTCTTCTGAATCAAGTCCTTGACCAAAGATGCTCTCCATCATACTCCTGCATATAATTACAGAAGCCATTCTTCATACATCGTCTTGATTGATTCAAACAATGAAAAATAACTAAATGCAGATTGCAGAAGCAACATTCACATTAAACAGGTCTATCTCTGAAAGAAAAAAAGATGCTTGGAGCTAATGGTTACTGGAATTACAGTACTTGGGTTTTTTATCAATGGAGGGTAGAATTCAGAAGACTAAATTTTTCAAACTTTTCTAATCATTAACAGAGTTAGTATTGGCAAAATCTTGAGGACCGGTTTACTGATATGGGGCACCAATAACATACCAACTGCCTCAAGTTTCAAGAGAACCCACCATTGAATGAGGCATGCCTAAGAGATTAACTGGACTAAAAATCAACTCAGATCTTATTCATCAAAAAAAAAAATCAACTCATATATTATCAGGGTGTCAGGTTCATAGTTCTAAAACAAGTACCAATTTCTTTTTTAGAAAATGATAATGCATTCTTCTGAGCCAGACAATACAAAAGATGTTGTTCTATTTGTGGTTCATTTTTTGAACTACACTATGTGAGCATTTTAACTCAAGATCACTTGAAAGAAGAGGATTACAGTTAGTGCAGTTAGTTATCAGGTTCTATTTGTGTGGAGCTGCAGAGGAATCAGAAAAGTGTCATACATCTACTAGTCCAATGTACAGATGGAATCCTAGAAGTAATATTTGGTTGCTGGCCAGTTCTAGTTGGAAGTAAGAAAGCTAAAATAGTGTGGCCCTGTGTGCCTCTTGCAATTTTGTTCGGAAATTTGGAAGGAGAGGAATAGAAGAATCTTTTCTTTTACCAATAACCAGAATTTCATTAATTAAAATAAAATAAAATAAAGAATACGGCATCCAAGAGAAGGATTAACTCTCTTAGCCCTCCCCAAGGATAGTTAAGATACAGTCAAAGATTTACAGGCATGCCTACAATGAATGAACCCTTCCCACCCCCTGTTTAGCTAAGGCATCAGCAAAGGAGTTAGACTCCTTTTAACCCACTGAAGCCTTATGACCATACCCCTTGACAGCTACTTGAATTCCTTTTTTTTCATTTGTGTATTCCCAAAGTCCAATCTCTTATTTATCCAGCCAGCCGATAACTACCTTGGAGTCACCTTCAATGATTAGATTTTGTATATTTAGTTCTTTTGCTCTTCTTACCCCTTCCAAAACAGCCAAGACCTCTGCCCTGAGAGAACCACTTCCACCCTCATTGGCAAAAGAATACTGGATTGAATTTTGATTCTTCCAGAATTCATAGGGGCTTCTAGAGAATATTTGAGGCAGATTTTTGGTCATCCGTGGAGTTGGACTGGAGGGGATAATGTTTTTATTTTTGTTGCATTGTAACCTGTTGAGTTGAAAGTTTCTTTTACTTTTGTATGGTGATCTCCCATCACCTCATTGTACTCCTTTTTTTAAGATTAATGAATTTCTTTTTTATTTATCTTCAAAAAAAATTGTTGACTCATGTTTACATGTATTTTCATTACTTCTGATCATATGGACATTATTGAGTAAAAAATAATGATTGGAGCTTTAATGATGTGTGAGACACACCATACAATTGCCATTCCATGCTTACATCAGCAAACCATATCTTCTAGGCTATAATATTAAAAATTGGTGTGTTCAAAATAGGGGGAAGGGGGTTTGCTTGTTCAAGAACCATGAATTGCTGGTTCCATCCATGATCCAACTGATGAAGAGTCGCACTATACTATTTCACTCATTTATCAAAAAAAAAAAAAAAAAAAAGAGCCCTACTATACTACTCCAGTTGATCACACATGGAACAAAGAACATCATCCCTAGGTACGAAACCAGTTGATTGACTCTAAGTAGACATAGTAGTGAGTTGATCATCATGAACAGATGCGATAGCTGCAACATTGGCTGAGCTAACCTTCTTCCCCAGCTTCTTTCAGTTCTTCTTAGGCTTCCCTACTAAGTCCCAATAGCTCTCCTTAGCATGTCCCGATCCCACACAATAAGTACACCATAACTTCCTTTTTATCTTCTTCAGTCTTCTCCGTCTGCTCTACCTTCGTACTCACACCTCTAGCCACAAGGGCAACTGGTTCCCCCTCAGGAGGATTCATCACATTCCTCGTACTCACCTTAGACTGAAGTGAACCAATGCATACACCTCCTGTGGACTGGGTAATTCCTTGCTTCCCAATATTTTAACTCTAATAGGTTCATGTATTGGGTTGAGGCCTGCAAGGAAAGAAAAAGCCCACTATTGTGAAACAAGATTCTTCTAGGCCCTTGCATCCTTCTCACATCCCCAATAAATAAATTGACAGTGGGACAGAAAAATAGGTAGAGAGTGTTTTGTACCCCTGCTTATAAGCTGAAAACTTAACCAGTAACTGATACACACTAGCATGGTGTCTCTGTTTTGAATGGGTGGCCTTTGCTTCGTCCCATATCAACTTTGTGGTATGGTATCAGCTGACATAAAGCTCTCCCTAATAGATGGCTGCATTGAGGATAAAAGCCAGCACATGATCACACAGTTCTCTTGTTCCCACCTGTCATGTGTAGGACCACTTTCCTAGGGTTCTACAACCCTTCCAATTAGATGCTCAAGCATTCCCCTCCCTCCAACAAACTTACCTTTAGCCCATTCCAGATAGTTTAGACCATCCACAGGCATGACAGAGATAGGAAAAAACATGTTATTTGCACTGACTACCATTAAATTGTGTTCCAATGATACCAGAAGTCGCTGAATCATCAGTTACCATGATCACTACAAGGGTCAGTTCAGTCAATACAAACCACTGGTCCACACACAAGCACACCCAAGACTGAGGTAGAACATCTTCTGGGAATGAAAAAGCAGGAATCCACATCTCTGTACATCTTTAGAAATGCACAAATAACTCTGAAAGAATCGCTATCAGGCTAAGAAAGGATATTACAGACCTGTCAAGCCTTGTTACACTACTATCTCAGGTTTGTCTATGAGGTTTTAAACTGAGAGCACTTCAATGTTTTCTGATCTCGTGAGACATAAGCTAGCACCTAGCACAAAATTTCAACTTTGTCAACCAGTGGGAGAAGAGAAAACAAGTTCTTCTAGAGTATGTGCACAGATCTAGTCACATAAATCACCCAGAATTGATGCAGACACAGCTGACCTACAATTGACCACATAGGGATACCCCTACAACTCCCAACCCTCAACAATCCAGACCCGAAAGAAAAATAAAGAAATGAGAACTGTTACCTTTGATCTATCAAAAAAAAAAAAAAAAAAAACTGTTACCTTCGATCAGTCCACAAATAATACAGATCCGACTCCCCTTTTCAGACCCACAAACGAGAGATAAAAGAGAGAGAATATAGTCGAAACAAGATGAATCTATTAGATTCTTAGCTCGGATACCATGATAACAGTCTTGGAATCATAGAAGAAATGGAAAGGTAATAACTTAAAGATGTGAGTGGCAGTGTCTCGTTATTTTATTAGGATCAACATAACTTAAAGGAAAAAAGGTAAAACTGTCTTTGCATCACTACACATATGTTACAAAAAGGGAGAAAATGGAATGGGGGACTCATTGAGAGTGGAGGTGATGGCCTTGCTTCAAGGTGTAAGATATGCAAAACAATTGGGGTTACACCAAATTGAGATTGAGGGAGACTCTAAATTGTTGATCGAGTGGCTGCAATCTGGTAAGTTGGGAGCCTGGATTTATAGACAGCCCATAAGGGAAATCCACAATACAACAAGGGAAATCGGTGCATGCTTCAAATGGACAAGGAGATCAGCTAATGGTTTAGCTGACAGTTGGCTAAACAAGGGACTGTGAGGGAGAGTATGTTCTGGGCAGTTTTGTAAGAAAGATAACTGGGGCTCAACACCTACTTGGGGGTTGACAGCTGTACTTAAATTTGGAAAGTTATTTTAAAGTTATTTAATGAAGTTACCGTTTCCAATAAAAAAAGGGAGGGGAAATGGAATTTATAAACATGAAAAGATGAACGAAAAATAAAGATATGGATCATGTTAGATGCATCAAAGAGGAAGATCAAAGAGTCTTGGTAAAAGATAAGGAAATCAATAAAAGAAAGAGTGGCTATTTAAAAAATAAAAAAAAAAAAAAATATATATATATATATATATATACTAAATGAAGAACATATAAAGGGTGCGAACCATGAAAGAGATCAGATATAACTAGAAATAATTAGTACTTTTGTAAAATTAGAGTTTCCAAAAGTAAAAGAGGCTTTAAATAAGATGGAAGGAAGGCAATAGGACTTAATGGCATTCAAGTAGAAATACAAAAATGAATGGGAGAGGTAGACCCATTATGGATAATTAAACATTTCAGTAAGATAAAGAAAAATGTTACAAAAGCACCCATTATTTCTATATCCGAGCTCTTTCAAAGTTCAAATCTTAATAGCAAATGAGAGTGTGGAGGATTTCAAGAGGAGAAAGAAAGGCTTTATGTGTAAGCTGAACTTGAAGAAAGCCTATGACATGGTTGATTGGTCTTTTATATCAGAAATTCTTATGAAATTGTGGATTTGGAGAAAGGCAGTGTGGGTGGATTGAAGGTTGTCTGAAAATTTGTCATTACTTGATTTTGATCAATGGAGTGGTCAGGGATTTCTTTCCAGCTACCCGAGGGTTAAGGCAAGGGGATCTCCTCTCTCCCTTCTTGTTTACCTTGGTAGCTGATATATTCAATAGACTTATCTTGAGAGCCAATAGGTTGGACCTCTTTCAAGGCTGGAGCATCGGTAGAAATGGTATTGTTGTAACACATTTGCAGTTTGCGGATCATACAATCATTTTTTGTGAGGATGGGGACCTTAGAAGGCATGGAATCTGTAGTGGGTGGTATAGTTGTTTGAACATCTCTCTAAGTTTAAGGTTAATTTTGAAAAGAGTTGTGTGGCTGGGATAAATTTGGATGAGGTGAAGCTGATTGAAGTAGTGGGTTCCTTAGGTTGTCTTACCCCCTAGTT